CTAGCCCAGTCGTGAGGTAGCCCCTCTCAATGTGACTCTCAGGGAGTCAGGGAAATCTTTCTCTTTCTTCTCCATTCCTGAGGGCTCAATTTCCTGTTGTGAGGCCGTGGCTCTCAAAGCGACTCACAGCAAGTCAGAGGGGTCTGTCTCTCTTCCTTCCCTACTTCTGAGGGATTCTCTCCCAGTTGTGAGGCAGCGCCTCTCAAAGTGACTCTCAGCGGGTCAGGGGTGTTTATGTTTTCAGGCCCCGGAGGCTGCTGAACCAGCCAACCCATTAGGACCACTGATTTTCCCAGCATGGTCCCGGCTCTATTTTCCTGTACTCCCAGTGAACTGGGTTTAGATAACTGGGTTTACTTTTCGTTCTCTAATCACATTCTGTTGATCACTTGTAAGAAGAGTCTACAGCCTGTATTGACTCAGCTCTAGACTGTACCTACTGATTTGCCTTGACTTTGCATGGCAGCTGAAGGCCTTGAACATGATGACAGATTCAGAGCTGACTTTATCTCCACGTTCTCATGAGTGTTGGCCATCCTCATGTCATTAAAACCACACTGATATAGAAAGTGTAACAAAAACTGGTCTTTTTTATTTACATAATTTTTACAAGATTTACAAAATCTTCTGATGCATGTTAGATACGTCGTTAATAGTAAAATAAGACTGTAACGTAAAGTTAAGTGCGTTTTACACCTTCTTTGTGTGGATAGGAACATTTTTAGCACTTCCACTGTTTGATTCCTAAAACTGCTGTATCAAGCTTTTTAATTAGAATGACCAATACTGAGAAATTACAAGATACAAAAAATACAAGAAATATGTGAACCTATAGGCAAATGTAAATTGCTTAATTTGCAGATGACCTTCAAGAAAGCTAATTCAGGCTATCCATATCTGGATAAGTAACCCACTATTCTATATGGCTATCTCAAGAATTCAACTGCGACCTCAACACAGGTTGATATCAATTCAATTGAATTCAATTATGAGTAATGCATTTACTTATGAGTATCTAATGTAGAATTTGTATTCGTGAGACACGATTTGGTATAGCAAATGGTATACAGAATGCATATTCTTTGTTTTGTATCTCTTTGTGTTTTGTATTTTTTGTAATATATTCTATATCTTGGTAACCCTCACAGTAAGATCTGCCATCTGTATCCAGGCAGACTGTTATATGTTTTTATATGCACAATTTAATGTTTAAATAAATGTATCTCAATTGAGTGGAGTTTGGTGCTTATTGAGACGAGGAGATCTGTCCCTCTTCATAATCCACACATACACCCCACCTTCTGAGGCTTTGGGCTGTGTGAAAGTAAGACAGACCAAAGGCCTTGTACACCTCATCCCTCAACCACACACCACAAACCACATCTGGGGCTTTTTATAACCTCTCCTTTCCTACAAAGCAGCAGAATAATTCTAAATGACTGCACATTACAGTTCCAAATTACAGCAGTGAGGCATTCATTTCATAAACGCAGTTAATTCGTATTTATGCAAATATAATTATCTTAAAATACCAATTTCATGTTCAGTCTGTGTGACTGACAGGAGAGATGATCAGTGGATTTCTGTTTTTACCACCATCTGTGAGACCAGGGCAAAAGAATGGGTGGAGTTTCTCAGTGACAAAGTCAGTGACATAATCCACATTGATCCCCACCTTCTGTGGTTTTGGGTTTTGAAAGGAGGACACAGATGCCACCGAATGCCTTGTATGCATTACCTCTCAGCCACACACACCACAAACCACACTTGGGGCTTCTTTTAACCTTCCCCTTCCTACCAAAAATTACAATAATTAAACCTTTTACTTGGTTAACATTTCCACACAGAGCACAATAGCGAATTAGGTAGTATCCTAGTAGTTTTTTTTTATATTAATGCAAAAATAATTAAATTAAAACAGAAATGTTATATTCAGTCTATCTGGCTGACAGGAGAGATGATCTGTAATCCCTATTTTCTCCACCATGTGTGAGACCAGGACAATGTGTGAGACCATGCTGGGATTGAAGTATGGATACAGTTTCTCAGTGAAGGTGTCAGTGAAAGTGTAGATGTGATTCCTGGTCCCTGCATTGTAAAAGGAGACCTGTCCCTCGTCATAATCTGCATAAATCTCCCTCAGAGGGAGGAGGAGAGAGGGGACAGCCAGAGCTTTAAACTCATTCCCATTTCACAGCCATATAGTCTAGTAGCCATTCTTAAGGGTCAGTATAACCTTCTCATTTCTGTTGGTCTCTTTGGCAACACCTAAATCCCAGTCAATCTTCCCCACCACCTCCACTTCCCCAGTGTCTCCCAGAGGAGAATCCCTCTCTTCCCAGGACACAAACGAAAGGATCAAGTGTGGATTGCTGGGGAGATTCTGCCTTTTGTGGCCAATGTCACTTGTTTTCACATCCTTGAACAGGATGAAATGGGATCCAGAGTTATATTAAGTATTTCAGAACAAATATGTTACACTTGACAAGTGAGAACTGAACCAATTTTTATTAACAAATGTATTGGTCCATTTTAATTTCCTACTGCGATGCTTCTGCTCAGAGTTGAGGGTGACTTGGAGTGGTGGTGATGGCAAAAAATACAAAAGAAAGATAGCTTAAGCAATTTTCTAGTCCATACTGTAGATATCATCCCTAACTTCAGTAGCCGTTCAAAGGGGTTTGTCAACAGCCTGGAAATCATGTCTTCCATTTCCTTCAATGTAATTGATAGAAGACCATCATTGTACCTTAACTGTCTCTAGTATTGGTAAAGTTTGGTGCTGATCTTTTCCTTGGTAAACACCTGAGTGAAATATACATTGAATGAATCACATATTGTCAAGATGTTTTTCATTCTAAACATTCTACAAAAACATATTCCCCAAAACATTCTACCTTATCCTTCACCTAGTGAGATAAAAAAACACAATAATCACCTGCTGAAGACCGAGTCAGGGTTGTAGCTTGTGAATTTCCTTTGTGTGGGGCATCAGGTCTAAGCTGGGAGAGTGTTGAATAGACATCAGTTGATTTCAACTCTGAATGCTCATAAATGCTGTCCATCTTCAGAAGCGATGTTCTGCAGACAGTCACAGTTTCTCTGGGGTATAAATAGTCATGCTCTTATACAAATTTGGATTTCACTGAACTGTAGTGTGGTCTGTGGTCTGTGGTCTGTTCTTGTGTAGCTTTCTTGTTAGTGGCAACATGTAAGGTTCTATGAATGTGGTTTTCGTTCAGCTGTGTTTATTTAGAGATCTCTACAAGTAGTCCATCTAATTGTGCCCTGTTTCTACAGTAAAAGAATATTAATTTAGCTACTACTTTATGTAGAATAAAATAGACGTTTTTCCAAATTGCTTATTCAATGATGACTTATAAGACATGGTGAATCCTACCAAACCAGGTAACCAGTCTTCCCCGTTGTAAATAGACATTATTGTATTGACATTTCCTTTGGAGTCATTTAATCTATAAAGCGTATGCATTATGTGCTTTGATAGCAATAAAGTCATGTGCTATGAATTTAATTTGAAATAATTCACGACATTTTTAGAAAAAAGGACTGCAAAATAGTAGAGTAGGTAATTTTAATTACGGTCATGTAGGTAACTGTGTCAGCATGCGTGGGCTGCAAAAGAACAAGTAAAGGTTTATTCCATGCTGAAAGAAGAAAAGAAGAGACAGCATTTCAGCTGTGGAGCCTTCTTCAGGTTTAATTATTTTTGTACAGGGACAGCTTCTCCCTTTCCTGTTGATAAGAAAATCTGCACTCAATGAACAATATTTTTATAAAACACTTTCATTCTTTTTCTAGATTTTTGGCTTGCTTTACTGGTAGAAATGTTCTACTTCTACTGTTTCTGTGAATGTATCATAATTTGCTTTGGGTCAAAATCAATACTTATGTAAAAGCTGTGTCAAGACTTCAAGAAAGTTATGGGAGCATTCAGCAAACACTGGATTAACTGAAATAAAAGAACATTAAGAGAAAGTGAGCATAAAGTCTGTCTGCTCAGAGGTACAAAATTCAGCAAATCATGTTCTGTACTCTGTGCAACGAACAAAGAGGGATGTAGAAAGTGCTTATTTTTATATTTTATAGTATAAAAATTAAACACCTGCACACTGCTGTTTGCAAAACTCTATTTTGTCTTACTATATTAATCTGCAAAACCAAATTTTCTTATATTTTTATATGTTTAATTTATATTCATATTTTTAAGACCAGAAGGAAAAACACAGAAATTGCCACAATCTAACTGTAAATTATGTGTATAAAATTTCACATTGTACCGTAATAATGGATTTTAGAGATGTGGTTTGTTTTTCAAATTCTGTTTCTCATTATTTTATGTATTGGCAAATGAACCTAAGGTTTTCAGTATGTGTAGTTATACTTTGTATAATATTACAGTATAAAACCACACTTTTCTTCACATAATTTCTAATGCTCGCATTTTTCAAAATCTTTATGTGGGGTGTCTAAATAAAACACTATATTTTTCTTTTGTTATGATTTACAGCAGCAAAAATGAATGCTTTGCAAAGTACCTGAATTTAGTAGCTCTTGTTCATACTGCTAGAAATTAAATATGGTACAGTATATGCAGAAGAGTATATTTCAGAGCTAAATGCTTAAATTCTTCTTGTTTTGAAGTAAAAGAGACTTTTAGAAATGTAGAAAGTCTGTGGCTCTCTCCTGCTCAGGTCAAATACATTTTTGTACGTAAGCTTTTAAGTCGAGTAAATGTTATTATTACATTAAAATGTTTACTAAATACGTAAGCTCTCTGCCCCATCACTCTAAGAATTTGATATCAGCTCTCTTAAACACAACGATGAATTTCAAATGACATTTTTCCACTTTTACAGTTTAGTTTAAATTCACATAGAACAAACCTTATTATTTTACTTATTCTTATTAGTAGTATCCTACAATCATCCTACCTTATTGTTGAATCTCGAATCTCACATTTTTTAGAAGAAAAATCTACTTTTTCCGCAAGTTTTCTTTTCCGAGAGACATTGGTTCTTGAGTACATTCAAAACTCTTTGAAATATTGTTATATAAATGAGATACAGCTAACATAAATCAGAAATGATCCCAATTTAGGATTGCAGAGGCTGATTGAAATTGGCTTTCCTCATGAACTTTCCTTGTAAACTCCATTAAATTCTGTAAGAGTAAGAATGCTTAATAAATACAGTGAACACAAACTTAAAAGAGGTTTATTGCAAAGCTGTTACATATGTTGTATGTAAATTTCATACTGACACTTTCAAAGGCTTCAGAACATTCAGAACTGAAAGTACAGAGGTGCTTGGATTCTCATGCCAGAATCATCCACAGGAACAAGCATCATATTCACATCGATGAGCAAAGACAGCCTGGATTTTGTTTATAGAAGAAATATATATATACATTCAATGTGTGGGACTCTCAGAAAGAGGTGATCAACTGGGTGGAGTTTGGTCCTTATTGAGACCAGGACAATAGAGTGAATGTAGTTTCTCAGCGAAGGTATCAGCGACAGTATGGATGTGATTCCTGATCTCCACATTGTGAAAGGAGATCTGTCCCTCTTCAAAATCCACATACACCCCCATCTTCTGAGGCTTTGGGCTGTGTGAAAGTAGGACAGATCAAAGCCCTTGTACACCTCATCCCTCAGCCACACACACCACAAACCACATCTAGGGCTTCGTTTATCATCTTTCCTACAAAGCAGTCTAATAATTATAAATGATTCCACATTACAATGCCAAATTACAGCAGTGAAGCATTCATTTCATAAAAGCAGTTAATTCGTATTAATGCAAACATAATTATCTTAAAATACCAATTTCATGTTCAGTCTGTGTGACTGACAGGAGAGATGATCAGTGGATTTCTGTTTTTACCACCATCTGTGAGACCAGGGTAATAGAATGGGTAGAGTTTCTCAGTGAAGGTGTCAGTGAAAGTGTAGATGTGATTCCTGGTCTCCACATTGTAAAAGGAGACCTGTCCCTCCTCATAATCCAAGTATATCCCCACCTTCTGGGGCTTCAGGCTCAGGGGCAGGTGGACAGGAGGGTTAGCTACAGCTTTAAACTCATTTGCATTTGTCAGCCATATTGTCCAGTAACCGTTACTGGGACTCAGTATAATCTTCCCCTTCCTGTTGATGGACTCTTTGGCGACACCTATATCCCAGGCAGTCTTCTCTCCCACCTTCACCTCCCAGTAGTGTCTCCCAGAGGAGAATCCCTCTCTTCCCAGGACACAAGAAACAGGATCAAATCTCTTTGGAAAATCAGGCAGAGTCTGTCTTCGATCACCCTTCCTCACTTGTTTCCCATCCTCGGACAGGATGAGACTAGGATGCGCTGAATTGGGATCCAGTGTCACATCAACTGTTTAGGAAAGAAACAACAATGACCAATGAGAACCTTACATATACTGTACTGTATGATTTGACATACATTTATGACTCTATTTTAACTTCTTTTACAATGCTTCTGTTCAGAGTTGAGTGTGACCTGGTGTGGTGGTGACAGGAAACACTATTAAAGAGAGATGATGGGAAAACACTACCTGAGGCCTCACGAATCCACTTCCACACTGGGGAAGAAAAGGAGTTTAGTTATTTGTCTGCTGTGAAGTCAGGTCCATTAACACAATCCACACTGCTGTGTTCCTAAAGCATTTTCTGGCACTTAAAGTTTATGACAAATTTGTTTTTATCAGAAAAACAAACATTATTTTTCTTTAAAGGTTTGCAGTAGTTCCAAAGTCTAGCAACTTGAGAGATAAGGAAGTGCCCTACAGGTTGAATACTGTACTTTGCTAAGGCTGCTAGAAAAAGAAAATAGTTTAATGACAAATGTTCTAAGTCAGTGGTTCTCAAACTGTGGTACGCGTACCGGCAGTGGTACGTGACGTGCCGCCAAGTGGTACGCCAAATGACCCTGGAACTGTGTCGTGTGCGCTGAAAAATCGGGACGGGTTTTCATATTTTGTATTTTAATACGTGTCAAATACGCAGCCTACGTACTACGATACAGTGCGCGCTAATACTTCAGGGGACACAAGAGATACTCTGTAATTCTATACCACTCTATAGGAATGCGTGCTACGGATGCAAGTGACCAATTGTATTTAAAAAAAGCTACTGTATATCCAGCAAATAGGGAGAAAGGAGAATGTGCGTGATTTTGGAACTATGCCAACGTTCTAAACACAGAAATACATAGAAATACGTGCTGTGAATGCAGGCCATCTTGTGAGCACACGAAAGCGTGATAACAGAAAAATATTTAAGAACTGTTCTAATTTGAGGAAAATACACCGAGCGTCTCTGTGTTTCGCTCCCATGCGCATGAAATAAAAACTTTAAATAAATACGGAAATAAAAACGGAAACGCGGAAAAATGCAAGCTTGCGTATTGCTAAAGCAGGTAGGCTACATTATTTTTGAAGAACCTTATTTACCGTTGGCAAAAGAGCTGACACGTATTATGTGTAGAGAAAAAGCTGCTAAACAGCTCGTCCTATTGCCCCCCTCCCCCTGAAAGACACAGTCATTCATAGAATTATTGAAATGGCGGATGATATCAAAAGTACACTGATAGAGCGCGTTAAGATGAGCAGATGTTTTTCACTGCAATTAGATGAGTCTGTAGTCGATTTGGCCAATTTGCTCGTTTACGTTGGATACTAGTTTGAGGGTATGTCCCATGAAGACTTTCTGTTCTGTAAACAGGAACTACAGGAGAGCACATATTTCAGCTTCTGAATGAATTTATCGAAGAGAATGGCCTCGACTGGATAAAATGCGTTTGAGTTTGTACAGACGGAGCTAGAGCAATGACCAGCCGACACAGCGGTGTAGTTGCACGAATTAGAGAGGTTGCTCCAGAAATTAATGTACGCATTACAACATCCACCGCGAGACCTTTGCTGTCAAGAAAATGCCTGACGATTTAATATCTGTTAGACTCTGTTGTGAATTGAATCAAGGCTCGAAAAATTAATTCACATCTGCTTTGCTCAACTAAACAGGCTCACCCCTCTCACAGAAATGGTGCTTTTTTATTAGTCGTTGTTAATGTTTTTTTTCTGTAAAACACTTTGAGAAGCCACCTTTAAAGGCGCTATATCAAATAAAGTTTATTCTTATAATATTTATTATATGTATGTGTGAGTGTGTGTGCACGTGCGCTCATGTTGGTCATTGAGAATTTCTGGGGTTCCTATGAGATGATGACTTGTAGGTGGTACTTGGATGCTTTGGTTGGATTAGGGGTGGTACTTGGTCCAAAAAGTTTGAGAACCACTGTTCTAAGTAATGCTACTATAAACAAAACAGCAGATGAGAGTTAAGCCCTTGTCTTCTAAATTTCATATTAAAATATGTATTTTTACATTCTTTTCCTAGTCAAATACATCTTGTATAAGTGTTCATATGTTTGCAATCATTTCATTTATAATATTTATATATTAGATAGATAGATAATACTTTATTAATCCCATAGAGAAATTGATGTAAACAATGGATATACAGGAGTCCTTGAGTCTGGCACCTCAGACCACTCGGCCATCCTGACGAGCTACAAACTATTATGTTCATTTATAGTCATTCAATCATATTCTATGATTTGTATTTCAGAATCATAACTTGACCTTCCTAGATCAGTAAATGTAAGTAGGGAAGGTTGATTGTAAATTTTAATAATATTTATATATACAACTAAATTATATATATATATATATTTGTATATTTCATTAAATATATTTAAAATATTAATACAAACTATCTTCATGAAATGCAGTTATTTAATCAATTTATTATTATCAATGTATTTAAATCCATTCAATCACATGCTATGATTTTTATTCACAATAATATATTTACTAGACCTTTCAAGAGGAAATGAAAAGACAAATATTTACCTGGTATGTGGGTAACTCCTTCCTTTCCTGTTGTAAAGACATTCAGCACTTATTAAATATATTAATAATACTTCTTCATTATTTTACTATCTGTGTTTTTACTTACAGGTCACTGTCGAAATAAAGGAAACACTGACAAAGTATATTAATAGGGTGGTGGGCCAACAACGAGCAGCTACGCAACTTGACATAGATTCTACAAGTGAATGGCACTGTACTGGACACCATTTGTTCAAGAGAAAACCATCGTGTTCTCATGAAAGAATGAGATGAATGTTTTTGTTGATGGTGGTGGAAAACGCTGTCTCACTCCAGAATCTCCCATAAGTGTTCAATGGGGTTGAGATCAGGTGACTGGGGTGGTCATGGCATAATTTTCATGCTCATCCAACCATCCAGTGACCACCCATGCCCCGTGGATAGGGGCATTGTCTTCATGGAAGATTCCTCTCCTATTAGAGATGCTTCAGCCAGGAAGAACCTGATCACTCAGGATGGTTTGTTGGCATTCACTGTGCCAGGAAAATCTACCGCACACCATCTCAGTTGACCATTGCCTGTGTTACATTGGTGTATAAGGGGTTTGTGCATCACAATCTGACCATAGTATCCCTCTCTGTGAAGTTCGTGATGGACTGTACTTGATGAAACTGCCTGCTCATGCCTCATTGCCATTTACAGTCCAATGATTCAGAGTTATTCACCAATATAGCCTCACATCTTAAACCGATGGATGGACATCACTGTTGAGGATTATGCACATTTGTCCACAGTTGCCCCAGAGTGATAGTGTCTTTCCCTCAGACCTTCATGCCAACATCACCTTAGGCACTGTTCCTCATGAAACATCAACAAGCTGAGCAGCCTTCATCACTAATCTCTTGCCAAAAGAGCCCCAACAATCACCCCCCTCTCATAGAGACTGAGATCTCTTTCTCAAGACCTGGCAGCCAAAACAATGGACAACCAGGTCAGCCTTACATTTTTATACATGACCCTGATCCTGATGGGCTGTTACTGGCTTGATTAACTCAGGGATCCACACCCATGTGGAAACACTTGCTTTCCATGTACTTTGTCTAATCTCTCAATTACTCAAGTGTTTCCTTTATTTTGGCAGTTACATGCAGCTTTACTTTATTTCAATTTAAGTATGAATACATGAGAATTGAAGATGTGTTTTTTCCTAATTCTGAGTATTAAATCTCACAATCTTTCCTAATTCACTGAGGACACATTTAATCCTGATACTACTCATTCAACATTTAAAGCAACCCCTTTTTTTCTCCCCAGTCAGTAAGTACAATGTTTCTATTGAGAGGTTACTAACATATTCCACATGGCTGTGATCTGGAAAAATGTCCTAACCCTAGTTTTACTGAATCCATTTTATTATGTGTTTTTGGTTAAGACCTAATACTAATATAAAAGCTGTATCACAACTATAATTGAAATTAAAATAAGTATTTCAAATAAAACCAACTTACTTGAATACTCAGAAAACACACGTCTGACTGAAATAAAAGAACATTAACAATAAGTGAGCATAAAGTCTGTCTTTTCAGAATTACAAAAATACAAATAAAATCACTTCAGTTTTTGTGGTGTCGACTGTTCATCCTGTGGTTTTTCAGGAGACACACATATTTGTCCCGCAAAGTCTTGCATTTGAATTAATCACACAAAGCTTTAAGGCTTTACTACAGTATATTTGGCTTGAGGAACAACAGCTTGGCCATTATACTTATCCAGTCAGAACTCTCCTACAAATTAACAATGGGACAGACACATTGGTGGTCTAGTGGGATAGGCAGAAGGATGCCTGGCTGAAGACTGGTGTCAAGAAAAGGTCTGATTTCTCCAATTTATACCCAATTGGCTTTAACCCACTTGTCTTGAAAGATTGCAACTTGGTCACGCGGCGCAAGTGCTCATAACTCTCCTATAAAATGAACTGATTGGTGGGATGTTATTGCTGGAAGGGTTCCTGTGCAAAGAATTTTGGGAAGAGAAGACTGAAGCCTAGTATTTAAACTTTAGTGAGCTGGTGGGAGTTGGGGTATTCTCTTTCTCACAAAAATACATGAAGTAGTATAGAGCAAATCAATAACATAGTGATTTACCGGTCTTGTTGGTGTCACTGGGGAAACACATCTCTATGGGGAGATAACTGGCCTTCATGCTGGTGTAGAGACTCTGCAGTCTGGAGTTTTCAGCCTCCTCATTCTTCACTTTTTTCTGTAGCTCTGGGTGACACAAACCACATTTTAGTGAAGATAAGACATATTTTCAATTTAGTCCTTTATTCAAGAAGAGAGTATGATTGTAACTTTGGCAAGAGTGAAGTAGCACCTAAATGCTTGTTTAGAGTGTGTTCATGAAAAGTATTTCTTCATATGGAAATAGATGTAATGTGTATGTACCGTATGAAGCATATTAATCGCTGCCGAAATATACAAGGTGAATATTGAGAAACTGTTACTCACCAGGGGCAGCCCAGAGGCAAATGGTGACCAATGCTGTCTCGCAGTGCTGAGGTCCTGAATTCAAATGTGCAGTTTGTGTGTTCTCCCCATGTTCGCATGGGTATCCTCCGGGTACTCCAGATTCCTCCCACAGTCCAAAGACATAGGGGTAGGTTAACTGACTTCTGAGAAAATTGGCTTAGGTGTGAAATGTGTTTGTATTTGTATCTGTCTTCCCTGTGATGGACTGGTGTCCCTTACAGAGTGTATCCTGGGGCCTATTGCTTGCTGAAAGAGGATCCGGCTTCCCTGCAATCCGGAATTGGATGAGGTGGTTAGAAAAAAGATGGATGTGGCTCACCATCCTTGGAGCTCTGTGTAAGTCGATAGCTTCTGGTGACATTGCTGTAGTTTTTCTTTAGGAGTGAATGGTCTCTCTGAAGGTCAGAGTGTCCTCTTTGTAGTGTCTCCAGTTTCTTCTGTAGCTCTGGATAATCAACATATGGAACACAGGAATATATTTTAGATAAACATTGAAGTGACCATCAGGCATCTTAAAGTTGTCAATAAAAACATAAAGGATTGAAGTGTGAAGCTCAGTGGGATGTGAAGTAACATTTAGTCATAAATGTTTACCAGTCTTGGTTTTCTGCGTAAGCTGACAACTTCCAGTCACATTGCCATAGTTTCTCTGCAGGTCTGAATGGTCTCTCTGAAGGTCAGAGTGCTCTCTTCGAAGAGTCTGCAGCTTCTTCTGTAGCTCTGCCCAATGGAGAGAAGGTGAATGACTTTTTCTTACCAGATCACCTTTGTCATGAGGAGAGGGTAATGAGGGATATTTTAAAAGTTACAAAATATGATTACTATATTTTCTTGCCAGTTCAGGTACAAAGAAGAAATTGTGTGAATTGGGTTCCTGCAACCAGTCTTGGGCTGAGACCTGAAACTGGTCAATAAACAGTTGGAAGAAGGTTTGTTGGTCACCAGTGAGATATTAATGGATAAACATGAAGCTCACCAGTGTTGGATCTCTGCGTGAGAAGATGGCTGTCTGTCACATTCCTGTAGTTTCTACGTAGATCTGAAAGTTCTCTCTGAAGACTAGAATGTTGTCTTTGAAGAGACTCCAGAGTCTTCTGCAGTTCTGGACAAAGAACACAACGGACTTATTTCTCCTAATCTTGGAGTCATTGTTAGAGTAAAATTTAAATTGATAATCAACTCAAGTAAAGAAAGGAGGAACCATAAAAAAAACTTGTTGTATTGTCATATTTCATCATATTTGTCCTAATTGAGTTTATTTTAGCTAAACATTTTTATATATTAGCCCACAGCTATATCACCCTGCAATTCACAGCTG